CGGTCTTGTGAACAATTTACCACATTTCTCTGGTTTCTCTTTATGGGGACTGGTAATCCCAGATGTCATTCAATTACAAAGTTATGGCCACCACCAGGGGCCAGGGATCACCATTCCTACCTGGCTGGAAGGCATTAGAACTGTAAATGGCTTTCCTGGAGGCAGAGGGCCTGTGGGAAGGTGAGCTGGCTTCATAAGGCAACTTCCAGGCCAGGGACAGTATTTTCTTGTGATTGGAGGTCAGTTTCAGCATGGAGGACTGGAGACTAACTCATGAGCAACCTGATACTCAGAACACAGGATCTCCATTGATTGTCTCTGTGGGGCACCTGGGGACATGGCACCAAATTGTAGTGACCCCACCAGTCAGACTCAGGGGATATCCAGGGGCCCTGGGCAGCATGGTCCACCTGGGCTGGTAGAGCTGGGAGTCCCTGAGGACAAAACAAGGGGGAAGAGAAGGTGAGTCCAGGAGTTGAGAGCACCACCTTTGTAGCTAGAGAGAAGGGTTCCAGTCCCAGCTGTCCCCTTCCTCAGCTAACAACTGTGGATATGCCAGCGCCTCTCCACCAGCCTCTATTTTCTCATCTGTGGAATGGGGATAACGGTACCTGCTCCTTAGAATTGTTCAAGGATTAACTGAGATGATAGGATTCAAGTGTTTTGCATCAGGCTTAGCAGGATTGCCCACATCAGATTAGATATTATCAGAAGCAGTAAAAGGAAGAAATGAGATTTTCTCTTATCCTTGGGGAATATGGTCCAAGACCCCCATTGGACACCTGAAACTGCAGATAGGACTGAACTCTACATACACTATGATTTTTCCTATATGTACATTTTTCCTATACATACATACTTAGGATAAAGTTGAATTTATAATCTCAGTAATAGATTAACAACAATAACTATCATAAAATAGAAGAATCATAACAATATACTGTAATACAAATTCTGTGGATGGGGTCTCCCTCTCTCTTTTCCTCTCTCTCTTGCAAAATAATGCAATATGTTTGGCCGCAGCAGACCGCAGGTAACTGAAACCACAGAAAGCATAGCTGTGAGTAAGGGAGGGCCCCTATGTTCAGAAGCTATTGTGTGCCAGGCACTGTGCCATCATTCATAGACATTTCATATCATCCTAGAAATAACCCATTTGAAAGATGAGCAAATTGAGGCTCAGATGAGTGTGAAGGGGCCTATTCTATTTTTTTTTTTTTTTTGAGACAGAATCTCACTCTGTCACCAGGCTGGAGTGCAGTGGCGCGATCTCAGCTCACTGCAATCTCAATGTCTTGCGTTCAAGTGATTCCCCTGCCTCAGCCTCCCAAGTAGCTGGGACTACAGGTGCCCACCGCCACGCCCAGCTAATTTTTTGTATTTTAGTAGAGATGAGATTTCGTCGTGTTGGCCAGAATGGTCTGGATCTCCTGACCTCGTGATCCACTCGCCTGGGCCTCTCAAAATGCTGGGACTACAGGCGTGAGGCACCGTGCCTGGCCTGAGGGGTCTATTCTATCAGGAGCCCAGGTGTTAAGCCAGATATGTCAGGCCCTTCCTGTGATGTACACAGCATCCCCCAACCTCCTCTCCAGGACGTTGCTGAGTAGGGCAGGTGATGGGAGGCAGGATCCAGAGACAAAGGCGAGAGAGGCAGTGTGAGGAGACCCTGTAGTCTGGAGACCTGGTAGAGGTGCCTGATCTGGGACAGATGCCATGCGTCTCCACCTGGGCTGCCTCCACTAGGGGAGGCAAGGAGGCCTTGTCTCAGGGGCTTCCCAGAGTCAGGGATGCATTGCAGACCTCCATGTGAGAGGCTCCTGAGGGGCAGACGTTGAGGGCATTGCAGTCTCGACCAGCTGGAAGTCAGGTAGGCTGGGGTGGAACCTCAGCTCTGGCACACTCGGCGTGACCTAGGACAAGCCACATCAGCCCTCTGAGCCCTGGGTTCCTGACACGGGAAACAAAGAACATGTTATGCAGAGTTGCCATGGCGATTAAATAAGCGAATGCAAAAGAGGCTGGCGCAGGTTGGTTCCCCTGCTTGTATGCAGGGGTTTATGGGGGTACAGTGGGGGGCACTCAGTATTAACACCTGCAGGGGAAGAGAAATAAGCAGGATGGGGCAGAGGAAGCAGTTGGGGTGTGATTCAGGCTCAACAGGGTTCTCAGCTGATCAAACAGGGGCACCTTTGGGGCCGAGACTGCTCTTCAAAGTCATCCTGCCTAGAGGTAAGGAGGTTGGGACGGTGTGCCCCCCGCATCGACTAGTCACCAGAAGGAGGTCTGACCTTGGTCAAGGCAGCTCTTTCCAGCTGAGGGCGGTCACCTGCCGGGAGCAGGGCTCAGCTGGGAGCTGTCAGCACTCCCAGTAGCTGGGGTGATATCCGGGCAATGCACCAGAGCACCCAGCAAAGAGCCACTTGACATCCCGGCTGGGGACAAGCACATCAGTTGCCTTTTCCTCTGCCAGGGAGACTGCCATGCAGCCACCAAGGGCAGGCAAGGGTGAAAAGGGACAGCTTCCAGGTGGGTAAGAAGCCAGGCTAGGGGAGAAGGTATGATGGATGGCAGCAGGCAATTCTGCCCTGCCAGTGTTTAATGGGGCTAGGGTCTTAGGTGAGCCCTTTGCATCGTGGCAGTGGTGGTGGGGGTGGTGTGGTATGTCCCCTGAATGATACAGCTGGCAGCATCTGGGCGAGAGAGGCAGGAGGATGGAGGAGAAACCGCAGCGCCACATTCCTGCGGCCCCTGCCTTGCCTCGCCTGTCACCCCGCAGGGCTGTGCCTTACAGCCTGCGCTCGACCCTGGAAAAAATTGACTGCCTGTTTCTGCCTGACTGCCCGAGAGTTACAGGCTGCAGGGGCGGGGGGAGGAGGTGCGAGGGCGGGCGGGCGCCTGCCTCCTCATCAGGATGGATTTTTCTGCTTCTCTGCTTGTAGGAAGAGCTGGAACAGGATACGGGAGGCTGCTCAAGGAGTAATCACTGTGCGGGGCGAGGGCATGTCAGGGGCTGGCTTTGTGATGGAGGGAAGAGAAAAGGAGGGGGAGTTAGGGCAGAGAAGCCTCAGGGAAGGCTGAGACCTTGGGGGACCTCTGGGAAAGTGGAACCAGAGGTTCCCCCAGCTGTATGTATGTGCATACTCTCCCTTCCTCCCTTCTCTCCTCCCTCCATCTCTCCCTCTCTCCCTTCCTTCCCTGTTTTCTTCTTTACCTCCTCTCCTCCCTCTTTTCTTCCTTCCCTTCTTCCTCCCTTCCTTCTGTTTATCCATCTGTCACCCACCCATCCACCCACCAACCCATCTTCCTTTCCCTCCCTCTCTCCCTCCTTTCATCCATCCATCCAACCATCCATCCATCCATCCATCCATCCATCCATCCATCCAACCATCCATCCATCCATCCATCCATCCATCCATCCATCCATCCATCCAACCATCCAACCATCCATCCATCCATCCATCCATCCATCCATCCATCCATCCATCCAACCATCCATCCATCCATCCATCCATCCAACCATCCATCCATCCATCCATCCATCCAACCATCCATCCATCCATCCACCCATCCACCCATCGGTTCATCCTTTCATCTGTTAACTTATTTATTCACACACTTCCACACCCATTCTTTCTCTCTTCTTTCCTGGCATTCATTTGCCCAGCACATATTTTTCGGGCACTGCTCCATCCCTGGGCTGGTACTGGGTGCTAGTGATGACCAGGTACCAGGTCATGCCCTCATGGGTTTTACAGTGTGATGGGAGAGGAGATGGACCAGCAGAAAGAGGACCTCATTCTTGGTGGGTCAGAGTTCTTAGGGAGAAGCCAAGGTGTGTTGGAACGTTAGAGACACTTGAGGGGGTCAGAGAGGGCTTCCTGGAGGAGGAAGCATTGGGAGTCAGCCTGGAAAAGGGATGGAAGCGTGGAGGAGTAGAGTGTCTGTGGCTTAGGAGTGTTTGTGTGGCCGGTGGCTGGCATGCAGAGCCATGATGAGCAGGTCGTGGGAAGAGGTTTTTCTGTATCTGGAGAAATGAGTATGATCTGGATTACCCAAGATCTTGGGTTAAAGAATTTGGGCTTTACTTTGCATTAAGTAGAGTTATTCTTAAGCAATGGAACCCCTTTTCACACAAAATCTTATGTGGAATTCCAAACTGCAAAAAACAGAGATAAAAGTGGAGCTGATACAAAAATTAGCCAGGTGCAGTGGTGCGCACATGTAGTCCCAGCTACTTGGGAGGTTGAGGCAGCAGAATTGTTTGAACCTGGGAGGTGGAGGTGGCAGGTGGCAGTGGGCCACGATCGTGCCACTGCACTCTGGCCTGGGTGACAGAGTGAGACTCCATCTCAAAAAAACAAAACAAAAAAAGGTGCAGCTGATCTGGTTAAAGCAGAGGGAAGATTCTAGAATATTTCCCACTGGAATCTTCTCATATCTATTTCCCACCATGGAGCTGCAGAAAACATGGTCACAGAGCCTCAGGGTTCTATGGAACCAGTTTAAAAATCACAGAAAAGTTATGTGGATCCTCCTCTGAACTTTGACGAGACCAACACACTGCAGCTTCCACCTCTTGCATGAAAAAGAATCAGACTTTGGGGGAAAAGTAAAGGCTGCTTTTCCTCCAAGTTAGGGCCATGCCCCAGGTCCTTAGGGAGATGCACAAGATCCTCCAGAATGTTCTACACCCCCAGGCTCATCTCCACCACTTTCAGCTTCCACTTTCCTTTCACGGTTTCGTAAGTGTCCAGCTTGCCTCTATGTGGAGCTGACTCCACCACTCTCTGTGCCTGGCCCAGTGTCCATCTCTGGAGTCAGCTTAGAGTCCTCTCCACCAGCAAGTCACTCTCGGCCTCCTCCCAGCTTGAGTGTTTTCGCTGCTGTCCCAAGACCAGCTCTGAGAGCTGAGGTCAGGCCCTGCCCAGCATGTAGTAGGTACCCAATATATGTTTGTTGAATGTTTCCACCGACAAACCAAGAAAGGCATACATAAAAAATGTGTACATACAAGTTTATGAACATCCATCTTCATTCTACTGGAATCAGTACATTCACATGAGGTGAGCAGGGAGGGGGCAGGAAGGATGGAGGGGTGGCATGGCACCATCCTCAGAATAGCCCCAGCACACAGTAGGCACTCAGAGAGCGTGGATTAAGAGAAAACAGCGAGCCTAGCCATGGATTCAGGAGGTTCTAAAGAAGTAACACTGAGCAGGATTTGGAGGCCTGAGAAAATGGTCATTGGCAGTCCAAAAATGTCCCTTAAACCCCCGGGCATACTGCCACCTGGCCCAACTTTGCCTAGCACACTGAAGAAGACGGTGTAGGACATTTTCTGAATGTGCACCCTCATTCCGACTATTTACATCATTAATTCATATGGCCCAATTTGCATCTGCACACCAACTCAATACTTTTTATGATGCAATTACTACTCAGAGATGAATTTTTTATGAGTTTCCTTTTAATGTCTCTAGGGCCTTTTATTCTGAAGAAAACCTCCTTGTGGAAGATGGCTAATCTTTCTTACAGTGAAAATCGAAAGCCTTCTGGCTCTCCCAGGCACCACCTAAATGACACTTCTTCCAGGAAGCCTTCGCTGGCCTGGATGAATGGGGAGGTAGGGCTCCCTGTATGGTGGACAGCAAAGTAGGTTGGTGGTTAAGAGAACAAAAAGTGGGGTCAAAATAATCTGGTTTCAGAGTACCACTCCAGCACTAAGTAGCTGTGTAAACTTGAGTAACTCAACTTCTTGGAGCCCCAGAACCTTCATCTCAGAACAGAGTTCAGTAGCCTCTCTCCTAGACTTGCCTTTAGAATGAGTGAGATCTTACAGCCTAAGTACTTGGCACAGAGTTAGCACTCATGAAATATCCACTACTGTTATTATAACACACCAGTACAACAGAGCAGCTGGCAGCCATCCACACAGATAGGTTCACCTTTTTGGCCTCCATAATTCATTTGGTGGTTATGAGGAGAAAGGTGCAGGTGTCCACCCTCCCCCAGAGAGATACAAAGCATGTCTCAGGAGTTTACTGTCCATGGGCTTTGGTATACATCAAATTGTCTTTCTTTCTTTTTTTTTGATCATCACAGTGTTGATCAGGTCTGTCTACCAAATCAGGAAGGGGAAACAGAAGGGCAAAGGTACAGGGAGCCCTGGGGAAGGAGTTTGCCCTGGGGTGAGGTGGTGAAGGTAGCCTGGATTTGGACTCTGCTTCCTAGAGTTTCTGAAATCTTGGGCTGGGAGGTGCCTTCTTTCTATTTTACAGATGTAACCCTTTAGGTCCACAAAGCGGAGGGAAGGTGCTAAGGTCCCACTGCTCCTCCCAGTGCCTGAAAGAATGCATTTTTAGGGAAGCTTCCTCTGAATGTCTAAGGTACCTGGATTTCCTTTTTAAAACACTCTCCCAACTTCTCATAAAGACTTTTTCTTTTCCTTTTTCTTTTATCCTCACACTTTATACTTTATTATCTTTTTCTGTTTTCCTTCTTTCTTTCCCTCTCATCTATCTACCTTTATGCTTATTTTTTATTTGACAAATAAAAGTTATACATATTTATGTTGTATAACACGGTATTTTGAAATATGTATACCCTATGGAATGGCCATAGCAAGCTAATTAGCATATGTATTACTGCACATACTTAACATTTATTTGTAGTGAGAACACTTCAGATCTATTTTCTTAGCAATTTTCAAGTACACAATACATTGTTATTAACTATAGTCACCCATGCTGTACAATAGATGCCTTCAATTTATTCCTCCTATCTAACTGAAATTTTGTATTCTTTGACCAACATCTCTAAAATTTCCTTGCCTTATTATTGATGAAACATTACAAATTCAAAAAATAAAACATTCAAAATAAAGCATTCAAACAGCACAAAAACTCTCTCACCTCCTTGAATCCTAGTACCCCAGCTTGCTCACTGAGGCACCAACTTTTCCCAGTTTCCTGCAGATCCTTCCAGAGACCTTCTCTGCAAGAACCAATATATCAAAGCCTATCCAAGGCTCTTGTTTTGTACAAATGGACACGAAGAGCAGTCATTGCCTGTGTCTTCACTCTTCTCACTTAGATGTTGTTCTGTCACCATTTGGGGATCTGCTTCATTTACGGGCCACATGGTATCTTATGCTAGAATAAGCCAAATTGCATTTAATCAATCTATCAATGGACATTTTGGTTGCTCCCGAATCTTTATCTATTGCTACATCTTTGATATCTGTCTTTCCCACCTGACTGTAGATTTTATGAGGATGGTGCGGTTTATGTCTGTTTTATTTCTGTCTCTTCAAAGTATAGCATGGGGTGTCTGAAACATGGTAGGTGCTCAATAAATAGTCCCTAGATGGATGGATCAAAGGATGGATGGATGGATGGATGGATGGATAAAATGATAGATGGATGGACGGATAAAAGGATGGATGGGTGGATGGATGGATGGATAAAAGGATAGGTGGATGGATGGATGGATAAAAGGATGAGTGGATGGATGGATGGATAAAAGGATGGGTGGATGGATGGATGGATGGCTGGATAAAAGGATGGGTGGATGGATGGATGGATGGATGATAAATGGATGGATCAGTTAGTTGTAGAACCTGAACTAAATCTCTGATTCTCCTACCCCACTCTTTTGTGGCCTGAAGAACCCAGATCTTTGACAGTCTCACCCAAGGGGGAATGCAGTAGGGAGTCCTTGTCTTCAGGCAGAGCCAACCATGGAGATGAGCACATGCTGTCCCGCTGTGCTCACAGCTCCATGAGCAATAGCAGGCTCCCAACCAAAGCTCTCCCTTGGACGCTCACAGATAGCAGCGGCTTCCCAAGGCCTGGGTGGAGTTGCACCACGTTATGGAAACTTCTATTTTTGCTTTATAAAAACAAAGCAGGAAAGGAAACCTGGCTCTGCAAGAGACACATGCTGGCCCCGTGAGTCATCTTTCTCCAAGCAAGACCAGAAAATCCTCCTAAGACTGTGGCCCTCACTGAGCCTTTGGCCAACATACTTATGTTTCTCCCTCCAGAAGCCCAGAGCCCTGTACACATGGGAGTTGCAAACTCAAGTGCCCCCCAGGAGACTGGCCAGAAATGTACAATAAAAAGCGAGACCAGCACCGGGCAAAATGAAGGACACTTTTCTCTTCTACACCAGGAATCTATTTTTTTTGTTTTGTTTTTTGTTTTTTGTTTCTTTTTTTAATGTGAAATCTCTCAACTTTTAAATCCCAGAGACCAGTGAAGATATTTTTTAAAGTGCTGCATAGGCTAAGTCAACTTACAGAGGGCTGGCTTTGGTCAGAGGGCCACCTGTGTGAGCCTCTGTTGGAGGCTCTGTTGGATGTTGGAAGTGAGAGTCAGTAACACTCTGGAGAGCATTTGAGTTTTCACCTTCTCTGTGGACTGGGACTCTCTCTGTGCAATTCTCTATCTCTGAGACCCTGCAGAGTGGGAAAATAAAGCAATTGTTGTGTGCTTTTTCTGCTTTTAATGAATGCATTGATTTTACAGATATGTATTGATCATTCCATATATATGCCAGTCTAGGTGACATCTGTTTTGCATCTCTTTTCTATCTTCTTTCTGCATCTGCTGCATCCTAGTGGTTATAAGCTTAAGCTCTGGTTTCAAGTTGCCTGGGTTCAAATCCTGGCTCTGTCACTTACTAGCTAAGTGACCTTGGACATGGGATTCAGCTTTTTTCTCCAAGCGTCAGTTGGCTCGCTTGTGAAATGGGGATCATTGTAGTCTCTCTCACTGCGAGAACTAAATGAACTGATGTCAGGAAATGTTTAGAATACCCCCTGGCTCCTGTGCAGCTGTTGATCATCACCCATTTGCCACATTCTAGCTAAATGCCCTTTATGGGTTAAACTTGTACTTGGCATTAAGGTTTCTGCTACAAGCAAAGAAGGACCCAATCCCACAAAGACTTTCTCACTAACTTCTCAAAGAAACCCCATTTTACAGATGCAAAAACTGTGGCTCAGGGAGGGAAAGTGACTCTCCTGAGGTCACACAGCTGGTTAGTGTCTGAGACGGGATTCCAATCAAGTATATCTGTCCTTCCTACTGGAACCCAGGCTTCTTCTGGGCTCAGAGAGATGGAAAGCATCCCCCTTTTCCCGAGGCCTCCCTTGACAGGCAAGGAGTTGGCCTCCATTTCTGCACGAGTCCCTCAGACAGCTCTGATCATTTTCAAGTGGACCCAAAAAGAGAAGGGCTGGCATGTGCTCATGATCCCAAGCCTGGGAGCTTGGCACAGCGCCAGCCCTTCTTCCTGGGCATGGAACCAAAATTCTTAGAAGCTTCTGATTTGTCCCCTTTGGATGAAGGCGTAGTGCATCATTGCCGTGTGCCTCCATGTATGCCTCACAACAGAGAATGGCCACACACACAGGGGTCCACAGCTGAGGGTCATGCACCTTACCTTCCAAAGGCTCAGCCCTCTGCAGGGTGCTGTCTTGCCACCTTTCCAGGAACTGTGACCTCTGCATTAGTTGGTGGCCAACATTTACTGAGCAGTTAATCCACGTCAGACTGTTCAAAGAACTTTACATTAACAGACTGAGTCTGCACAATCATCCCCAGGGAGGTAGATGCTATGGTACTTCCATTTTACAGATGAGGACACTGAGACCTGAAAAGCAGAAGTAACTTGCTTAAGGTCACATTGCAACTCATTGTTAGACATGGCCAGATGTCAAAATATGAGTTCTCAGAGGTCTCTGGGGTAGAGAAAGGTCTTTCTGGCTGGTGGCACTTTTTTGATGTGCCTCAATATGTCTGGGACAGAGTGGCTCTCAATTAACCCAGCTCCATCCACCCATCTGTCCACACACTTATGAGTCGTATGACCCTGGATTCATTAATTCACCTTAGGTACACTCACTTCTAAACTGCAGATCAAAATGCCAGTACTTACCCTTGCAGGAACAAGGACCAGAACACCTGAATGGGTAGTTACCTGCTTTAGAAAAGTGACATACTGGGTAGGCAGAAGGCGGTGTTCACACCAGTATCCCTCATCGCCATCAGGCTTGGCTCTGAGCCCAGGTCAGGCTTGAGCACAGCCAACCAGTGACTCATCCTTGCTGGGGGCATAGCCTGCTGTTGTGTTAGAAAAGCTAGACCACAATGATTAATTCAAGCATGATAAGAACGTCTGGGATCCGACCATCTGCTACTGTGTGACCTGGGGTAAGTCCCTTTCCCTCTCTGGGCCTCAGCACCTCCAGGTACTTAAGACCCCATGAACTCTAGGAATCTTTTCGGCTCAGACAATTGATGGAAAATTGCAAAGACTCCAGGGGGTCTCCCTCAACTAGTTCCTCTTTGCCACCAGGTCTGGAAATCTAGTGGCAAAAATGCTTGCTCTCCTAACTAATTTGTATCCATCTCTGGCACAAAGAAACCTCAGGACCTAGTTTTCTGTTCCCACAATTAATAATATTATTGTTGTTGTCGTTGTTACTATTCACTGCATTAACTGAAACTCAATGTGCTGAGTCTTTTACACCCATTGTCTCTTTGAATCCTCAAACTAATCTTTTGGGCTAGATACTGTGATCCCTTTCACTTAAGAGATGAGGAAAGTGAAGCTCTGCCGGCTTGGTTAAGTAGCTCAAGGTCGTCCTCAGTGCCAGGATCAGAAGCTGCAATTTGAACTGGGAACTCTGGTGCAGCCTTTCAGTTTTCAGCCATGAGACGGCACACCCAGCCCTGCAGATCAGAAAACAAACTCGCCCTTCCTTGCCTGAAAAGGCTCCCTCACCTTGGCCACCCGGCATGAAAACATTCTGAATCCAGACTGCCAAGAAAGAAGAATCAAGAAAAAAGGAAGAAAAGAAAAATGAAGAACTCTTTGTTCCTTAAACCATTCTCCGCAAGCATAGTCTCCACCAGGTACATGACTTAACTGTGGAGGTGACCCCAACCCGCCCCCACCCCCGGCTGCCTCGAGCTCCCTTGGCAGCCGAGTAGTCACGTGATGCCCAGACAGCCCTGGCTGCTATTCAAGCGTGTCCGTGTGAAGCAGCTCCAGCGAGCATCGCTCCCAGAGGGGGGAAGGTGGGGGCCCAAGTCAGCCTTGGACACGGCCCCTCAGCCCCGCGCCAGAGGAGCCCCTGTCAGTGCCCACTGCCCTTTCAAAGACACTGCACGCTGGGCCTGCTCCCTGCACCCCTGCCCAGGAAGTAGCAGCGCAGGCCAGATGAAACATCAGCCACAAGGTAGCATAGCCGAGGGGCTTCTGTTCATCGGGGCTCAGCCTGGCCTCCCGGCTTCACTCACTCATTTATTAACTCACTCACTCATTTGTTCCTTCAGTCACTCATTCATTCATGCATGCATTCATTCATTCATTCCATCAGTCACTCATTTATTCCTTCATTTACTCCAAGCTTCACTCAATCATTCAGTCACCCAATTACTCACATGTTCCTTCACTCAGTCACTAATACATTCACCAATTACTTTGCTTACTCATTCGTTTGTCCATTCATTCAGTCATGTATTAGTCCATTTTCATGCTGCTGATAAAGACATGCCTGAGACGGGGTAATTTATAAAAAAGGAGTTTAATGGACTCACAGTTCCCTGTGGCTGGGGAGGCCTCACAATTATGGCAGAAGGCAAAAGGCACGTTTTACATGGTGGCAGGCAAGAAAGAGTGAGAGCCAAGTGAAAAGGAAAACCCCTTATGAAACAATCAGATCTCATGAGACTTATTCACTACCATGAGAACAGTATGGAGGAAACCACTCCCATGATTCAATTGTCTCCCACCGGTTCCCTCCTATGTCACATGGGAATTGTGGGAGCTACAATTCAAGATGAAATTTGTGTGGGGACACAGTCAAATCATATCAATTCAAATACAATGTACCATCCACTCTTCTCTGCACTGGGAACATAGCAGTGAGCAAAATAGATGAGATATTTTTGGAGCCTCAGTCTAGCAGGGGTAGATAGCCATGAAACAATAAACACTTAATTATTCAATTGCAATCATGCTAAGTTTTAGAAAGGAAGAATAAAGCATATGATCATATATAATAGGGGCCCAGCCTTGTCAGACACCCAATTACAAAAGCATAGCTCACTCCCTTTCACCCCCTACATTGCAAAGCAGATATTTGTAAGGCTCTTATGGGCAAGCACTTAGAATCATGAAGGCCTAAAAGTATGTCAGTTTTGGAAGAAACATCCATGATTATCCGGCTCTTTGTGGCAAAAGGCAGTGACATGGTATGGTCAAGGGCTCAGACCTTTAAGTTGGATTTCTGGGTTTGAATCCAGCTCTGCTATCAACTGCATGCCCTTGAGTGAGCTATTGAAACAACCGGACTTGGTAGAGTGAGAATAAACAGAGTACTAGAGCTGTGGAGGAAGATTAAATGACATGCCCTATGCAGATCACTCAGCATGGACCTGTCCCTGGGCAGCAAACAGTGCATGCTACCCTTGATCGTGCTGTCTCTCATTGAGCATTGGAGGAGGGAACCACATGCCCCAGGATGACCCAGTAGGAGCCTGCACTTGAACCCAGGCCTCTGGGCTCCCAGTCCAGTGTTTTTTCCAAGCACAGATGAACCTTTGATATACAATGGAGAAACCACCATTCTCTTGTCTCCACCTGCTGTCCACCAGCCTCTGTCATAAATGTCCCAGAATCCTCAACCAAGATCAAGCCCTGACACTCAAGTGTCCCCCTCCCCAGGTGGCTGCACAGCCGTTTTCCGAGGCATCTTGGTTGGTGGGAGGGGAGGGAGGAGAAGGCATCCAACACACAGCTTCTATTTGCCATGTCAGGAGCAGTAACTTCTCCTAATTATTTCCTGGCTCCTGGATTCATTAGCCACCCCAGTATTAATTCAGATCACTGCATTTATCCCCATCTGTCCTAGATTCGTCACCAAGACACTGACGACGCTAATGTGGTGGTTTTAGCAATGAAGGAGCACTGCAGAGTTCAAATTGTTGTTCAGAAGGGGGAAGAGCTCTAGCAATTTTTGGTTTAGAACAAGAAATAAGAGTCCTCCACCAAACACACACACACCACCCCCAAGCCCCCAATGCCCCAAACCAGGCAGCCTAACGGCCCACAGGCAGATAACCTTCTGCCCTGGCCTCAGCATCAGAGAAATTCCTTTTAAATGACTCCACAGACTTCCCCACCCACTGAGTTCCCCTCTTTGGCTAACAGATGGGCTCAGCTAACCATTCCCAGCTTTCCGATAAAGCAGTGTCAGGCAGTGAGGCCCCCTCGGAAAGGCATGCTTGGATAATAAATTCCAAGGCACCCCTGCCATCTGCAGGCTGCCAATCATGGGGGCACTGGGCACACTAGGGCTCCCAGCCTGCTGCTGGTAGGGAGTTGGGGTGGGACCTCTGCATGTGGGGAGGCAGCCTGCCCTGCCGCCCCGTCCTGCTCAGCCCGTGACCTGTCCCTGCTGAAACGGCAGGGGCCAGTCCTGCTGCGACCCCTCTGTCTACTCACAACCCTCCCTGTCACGCGAGAACCAGCACACAGGCAGCACTGTAATGCAGGCAATAATCGTAAACCTCAACGGCCGATAGTCAGATCTGCTGCCACATTTTCGCTCAGTCACATTCCAGTGCTTGACCTCAGACCAGTGACTTCCCCATAAAAGCCTCAGTTTCCCCATCTGTAAAATGACAGTTAAAGACACTCCCTTTCTGGTAGATTTTGTGTGAGGATGTAAGCAAAATGCATAGCACAATGCCTGCCCCATGGATATAAGTGGCAGCTGTCATTATCACCATTATCATTATTGTTAATAATTTTCGTGCGGTCGTTACCACTTAAAAAACCAATTAGGTGCGTGGTGGTGCACTTCTGTAGCTCCAGCGACTCAGGAGGCTCAGGCGGGAGGATGGCGTCAGCCCTAGGTGTTCAAGGCTGCAGTGAGCGGTGATCGATCGTGCCTCTGCACTCCAGACTGGGTGAAGGAGCGAGACCCAGTATCAAAAAAATAATAAAGTGAAATAAAAGGGCAGTTAGCCTGAAAAATTGACTTTGTGATACTGGCTTCATATGATACTTATCTTAGAAGTGTGATAAAATGTATGAGCTGTCTTAACCCAGCACAGAATGAGCCTTCAGGAAATGTTAATTGCCCCTGTCAATCTCAAATTCTTTCATTTATTCATTCATTCATACAAGAGACATTCACTAAACATTGTGCCAGCCCTTGGGTTAGACCTGAAGAGAGAAAAAACAACCAAAAAAAAAAAAAAAAAAAAAAAGCAATTTTTACCTTTAAATCACTCACCATCAAGGGAGAAAATAAAGCAGTCCCTGTGAAGACATAGGTTTCCACAGTGTTAGAATGTGTTTGGGAAGAGGCCAGGCTTCCTGGATCACCCTTCCTTCTATCTCCCAAATAATAATGAAGGCTATTTGTACCACATTGCTTGAACTCCTTCTGATTGCTGAGGTTTCCCCTTGAACTCCTTCTGATTGCTGAGGTTTCCTGAGGTCAGGGATGTACAGTGTGCAGTATGCGTACTGTTGTCTCTCTTCCTGGGCCAAGGCAGACATCACTAATCAATCACAGTTGTCTTTCTCATTGAAGGAAGAAGACAGGACTCAGACACTAGGAAGATTCCTTGCTCCTGGAAGTCACAGTCAGCTGATAAGAGCTGGCCCCCAAGTTTTAAACAGATATCATCCCAGCCTTAGATGAGGGTTTAGACATGTCCAGCTATGTCTGGCCCACAGCTTGTTTTTGTAAATAAAGTTTTATTGGAACATAGTCACACCCATTTCTTTATATATTGTCTAAGGCTGTTTTGCACTACATGGGTATAGGCTGAATAGCTGTGACAAAAACCGTATGTCCCGCAAAAGACAAAGTATTGACTCTCTGGCCCTTTAGGGAAAACAGTTGTCTTTGCTGCAGAGGGTTTACTGTAAGAACTTGCAGTAAAGTGAGACTAGGCATTGTGAACTGAAACTGTTAGCGTCTCACCTATATTCTGTCCACTCTCATACTCAAGCCTACTTGCTGTGCACAACTGTGACTCCCCGCTTCTAGGTGTTGTTCTGGCCTTGGGAGCCTACTTGTCTGTGCAGAGGGCAGGTTGGAAGCAGCAGTGAGTTATTGCCCCTGAAAGCAGTCCTCAACCAAGACAGCGTTGAGGTGGGTACACACCCCAACTCCTGGGCTCTCAGGTGAGAGGACTCCAAGGTGGGTCACACTGCCTTCTGGAGGCTCCCAGCAGGACAACACTCTACTTGCTCACCATAGATAATAACATTCCACCTCTCACTCTTAAGATAGTCTTTCCTAGGAATCCTTGTCTCAGAGTTGGCTTCTGAGAGAACCAGACAAAGAAGCTGTTGTTTCTCTCTCTGTCCCAGCTCCTCCAAGTCTAGAATGTGCTATGTGTTTTCAGGGGACTGAATCAGTGACTCATCCCACTGGGATATTGCAATAGCTGTGGTGACCATGTCTCGGTGTGCATCTCACACGCAGACTTCCTGAGAGAGGGAGGCATTGATTATGCCACTTGTCACCAGCTGATGTAGCAGGATTTTGTGCCAAACCATCAGAGAAGGAGTTTCCATCTCTTGCTCCAGTCTCCCAGTTGCTGCAACTGCACAGGGTTCTGACAGTGAAGCTCTTAGTCTTGTCCGCAAAAGCAGATTCCCATCCTGAAATGCCCTACTTCCCTGCTCTAGGCAGACATCATGAATCAATCACAGCCTGACTTCCTCTTGCATCTTTTTCAGTAAAGCACTCCAGGCAGGTGCTATCAGTGGATGGGAACTGGCACACAAGATTAAACATATTCTATGGGGGAATGCCCAGGACAGAAGGCTGCATGAAAGGTAGCACAATAGGAAGTACGACATGAAATAGTTCTTCAAAAGATAAACAAAACAGGCAAGTACAAATGATAAATGTAG